GGGGTGGAGGCCAGCCGGGGCCACGGGTCCCGAACCGCGGACCGCTCGGGCCGGCTCCGGCGTGGACGTCGCGCCGGCTGCGGAGAGCATTCAATTCGGCGGTCGTTTTCAAAATCCCGGCAGAGCTTCCGCCCGGGAGGGAGGGGGGACGCGTTCAAAGTTTTCGGCCAGCTCCCGGAGTCGGAGCTGTCCGCATCCACCGGCTCAGACTTTCTGCGGGGAAGATCGGCCCTCGAACGGTTCTTACCCGGCGTCTGTCTGTCTCTGGAGAGCAGGGTTTTAGTTCTCGCCCCACTTGCCGTGTGGCTTTGAAGAAATCTGCTTTCCCTGGGCCTCTTGGTTTTTTCTCGGTTATGGAGAGTTGGGCTAGGTAGAATCCAGTTTCGCAATCCGGTGGTTGTAGTGAGGTGGATCACACTATAATTAGTTAGGAAATTTCTAAGTTGTAAAACACACCTTCTTGCTTTGCCTTCCTCCTTCCCCCTTCTCTTTTTCTTTTCCCTCCCTTGGTTTTTCAAGACCAGAACTCATTATGTAGTCCTGCCTGGCTCAGAACTTGTGATTCTCCTGCCTCAGTCTTATGACTGTTGGAATTAGGGGCCTGTGCTGAGTCTTGACTCCATATCATTCTTTCATTTGTTTGTTTACTGGTCTTAGGTTTATTGAACCTAGGGTCTCACGCGTGCATTCACTCTAGTACTGAGCTAGATCTCTAGTCCTGTAGCCATTTTTCCTCAGCTTTTTGTTGTTGTTGTTGTTTTGGTAAAGTTTTCAAGTATACAGAAAAAAAAAATTAAGGAACTGTATTTTGAAAATCCAGTTTTAAACAGTGGGAAATAAACAGCAGGGGTTAAACTTAAAATCCACACAAAGGCACATACAGTGAAAATCTGCCCCCCTAATTACCTTACGTGAATCAGTTCATTTTGTATATTCTTCAGATGCTGATATTAGCACATGCTAATATGTACTTACACAAATGTTGTAAATCTACAGTTAGTATGTTGCTTTTTAATGAAATAGTCAGGGAGGGTGGTAGACTAGTTGCTAGTATTAGAAACGGGAGGTGTTGAAACATAGGCTCAAGCCCCGTCATGGTGGATCTCAGAGTTAAAAGGCCAGCCTGGTCTATAGAGTGAGTTTCAGGACAGCCAGGGCTGCACAGAGAGTCCCTGTCTCAGGAGAGAAAAGAAAAGAAAAAACATAGGTGCAAGAAGTTGTGACTTGCTTAAGATCGTAGAAGTTGCCCGAATCTCTGGATCTAAATTCGGGTCAGTGAAGAACTATTGCAGATACACGTTGTCTTTCACATAAATGCCCCCAGATGGAATTTTTTCAGGAGAACATTTGGGGATCACCGTGTACACTTTCATGTAAAATTCCTGCTCTAAAAGGCGCTGGTAGAAGCATTGTGTTGCAGAGGGACTTCAGAGTTCTCTGAGGAAGAAGGAAGGAACATCCTCTTCTGGGTGATAAACGTGAGACAAGGGTGAGGAGTCTTGTCTCAACCCAAGAAGGAAAGTTGGAATGATGAGAAGGAGGTTCTGCTCTGATCAACTTGAGCATTAATTTATCATAACTAGATAGTAACATTATAGCAAACATTAATAATAGATGTGAACGTCCATTGTTAATAAACTTGAGCATTAATTTATTTCTGTCCGCGCTGCCCGGTTGTTGCAGTAAGGAATTCATTTCTTCTATTATAAACCCTTATTTAATGTCCCTCTAGGATAGTTTGTAGACATACAGAATATATATCCCATTGCCTGTGTGTGTGTGTGTGTGTGTGTGTGTGTGTCTGTGTGTCTGTACAGTTAGTTAAGTCTGACTGCGTCCCCTGAGATGTGCATTAATGACCAAGTTCCATTTGCTTCAATATGGAATGTAACAGGAAACCACAAGGACCTAGGACTTATTTTTGAGAAGGAAAGTAGAGCAGAAAGGTGGTGTTCAGAACTGTATATGTCCCAGTTGATATCTTTTCTTAGTTGGCTTTGGGAAATTTAAGGCTGTTGTTTTTCAAAGGCAACTTTTAGTCACATTTCATATGCAATTTAGATAAGAGAGATTATGATATATGGACATGTCCCATTGAGCCGCTTGTGAAAATAGTTTAAAATATTTTTCCAGTGTTAACATTATTACTGAAGACCCTTTTAGAGTACAAACCAATTAAAATTGAATCCTTTGTTCCCCTTAGGCTTTCTGGGACCTGATTTAACTGCACAAAGAACATATTAGCATACTCCCTTTGAATTGGTCTTATTCTCAGACAGTTTATCGAAGAGAGAGCTAACTACCAGACGAGTGAGGTGCCACCATGTCATTTCAGTTTTACAGGGTAGGCTGTGTAACACTTTTTCTGTGCTACAGTGTGGCCTTTATGATCTACAGTAGATGTGCATGTCAGTTTATGCCACCCTTGACATAATCCACTTGTAAAGAAGGTTTGTTCTGGCGCACAGTTTTGGAGATTGCACCCCACAAGTGGAGGACCTCCTTGCTTTGGGTCAGTGACAAAGCAGGAACAGACCTGTTCACCTCATGACTACCACAAAAGAGAGAAAGAAAGAGAGCCAAGGTCCCACCGCCTCTTTCAGGGCATGTCCCCAGTGTCTTAAAGACCTGTCACTAGGTCTCTCTTCCCAATAGTGTTGTTCTGGGGACCATGCCCTTCATATGGGCACGGGGTGGGGTAGTGGCTCTAGAGTCACCATAGCACAAATGGCGACCTACAATAAATCTAGGGTCTTCTTTATTTTCCTTTAAATGAGCCGTGCTGCTACCGTATCTTTTTTATTATCTTAAATCCAATGTACCCTTGCTTTACTCTTCTAATTGTACTTTCTTTTTACTAGGTGGCTGGTGATAGCGGTTGGGCTGGGGAGAGCATACCTGGCTAAGGGGAGCTACCATAGTCTTTATTATTCGATAGAAAAGCCTCTGAAATTCTTCCAAACGGGAGCCTTACTGGAGGTATGTTTGAGATTTTTTTTTTTCCACTAATTTCAAATGTTACAGAGTGGAAAACATGCTGTTATTAAATATGATAAAGTATATCAAAATATAACCTTATCCTTGCTGAATTTGTTTTATATTTGGCAGTTTTGTTTTGTGAATTGATGGCTCAACTGTCTTTGAAATTCTAAAAAAGAAAATACAATTCTATCTAATGCTATTTAATGGAATGTCTTTTCTCTCCAGCTTTTACAGGAAATCAAATGATGCAGGCCTATGCTAGGATTTTGAGAGATTCTAGGAATGCCACGGTGAAGGGTTGACAAGCTCAGAGGCTCTCAGGGTGCATGGAACAGGAACAGTGACTGTCTTTGGCGGAGGTGGTGTATTGGTGATAGATGAGAGACACATCAGAATCTGCCAGAGGCATCCAAATTCACAAAGGCTTTGAAGGACAAAAGACAATCTCAGTGAATAAGTGTACTTTGGGTTATCAGTAGAGCTGGATTTTTGAGTTACATTTGACAGCTAAAGCAGTTTTAGGAATAAAGGGATCTTCTGGTCTGAATCTGATAGATACAAAACTATGGGCTTGGAGAGATGGCCCAGCAGCTAAGAGCCCTGGCTGCTGTTCCCAGAAGACCTGGGTTTCATCCCCAGGACCCACATGGTGGATCTCTTTATGTGACAGACCTAGGCTCTGCTAGTGTGGACAGCCTTTATGTGGCGGTAGAGGTTTGCTTTTCTGAACGTCTGTGTCAGACACAGTTCTAGGAAGGATTCTGGTTGGCCCTTTTTCTGCTGCTGCTTGTGGTGTTGACACTCGATCAGCAGGCGCAGAACACATGCCCATTCCTGTTGCAAATGGACCGTGGATTTGGAAAAGAGGGGTTGGGGATGTTTAGGGACATGCAAAATCAAAAGCTACCTAGTTGTGGTAATGAAAAACCTTTGGGTAGTACAGAGGACATGATACTCTGTTTTACTTCCCTCATCCTCCAGGGCAAACACAGCGTGACATTTGTGTTCAGTGGCAGCTTAAAACCCAAACTAGGGAATAATGTTCAAGAAAAACTAGTTTACCTCCATGAAATAAGATGTAATTCTCCATCTCACACCCTGACTTTTAAAAGCCGGAAGGGGTAACTTTTGTTTCTGCTCTTTGCCTTTAGACAGCACTGTGCTCTTGGGCCTGTCTGGGGTGTCAGGGTGACTTAGCACCCCCTTCAACTGTGCTGCGGTCACCAGCTTAGGGGAATGTTCTTTTATCCCTTGTCCACCTTTTTGATTTGGAAAAGAATTAGGCTACAGTTGACTTCTAGTTTCTTCCTGCTCAAACAGTTTGAGTCCAAGAAAACCAGCAGATTCCAGTGTGAATCGTCTCTAAGCTTAGAGGCTTGGGGTTTTGTGAAAGGGGGAAGAAATGACTAAGCGGCACTGCATCCCTCGTCACCTTGTCACGCACAGTTCCCTCAGCTCCAGAGAGGCACACCTGAGATCAGGGCCTTCAGCACCTGCCCCAGTGCTCAGCAGAGGACTGCATTGCTCACACTTGGACTACTTCCATTTCTTTTTCAAGGCAGTTTTGGTGGTGGTGGTGTTTTGTTTTATTTCATTTTGTTTCTCTGTGTAGCCTTGGCTGTACTGGACTGGATTTGTAGACCAGGCTGGCCTCAAACTCAGAGCTCTACCAGCTTCTGCCTCCCGAGTGCTGGGGATTACAGGCGTGTGCATTTACCTCAATGATTTTTAAGGGGATTTCCTTGAAGATTTTGTAATATAGAAATATAATTCTAATATAGAAATGTAATTGTAATATAGAAATATACTATAGAAACATAATTTTTAAAATTTAAGTATATCTTAGGGAAAGTATGTAAATTAAGCCATGCAATACAAAATTCACTCCAGAGCCAAGTCTTAGACTTTAAAGGATGTTTATCATGTTCATCTCTGTTGAATTTTTAATGGGGATTTAATAAATTAATTAATTATTTTTTCTTTTTGTCAGTCTCCACTAGAAACTTATTACATGACAATAATAAGTTTGGTTTTAGAAAAAAAAAAAAAAAAAAAAACTATGCCCCCCAAATGGAAAAGTCTTTCAACCCATCCACTCCCCTGAGAGAGAAAGAAGCGATAGAAAGGACCCTGTATAACGAAGTGATGGTTTCTAGAAACAAGTGGGAGATGAATGTCGCAGAGGTCCATGTTGGGAGCCTGAGACTAGTACTGAGATGCACTTCCTGTGTATTGCTGAAGGATTTCATCACCTACCTAGCCGACATGCTACAATCATTAGATGTTTGTGTTGCTTAATTACACTATATTGCATTAACAGGAGGAGAAAATTAATCTAGATAAGTTAGCTTCTCGTTTACCTGTGGGCTAACTAATCTCCTTTAGTGGGGCCTTTGGGAATTGGCTTAAAAAGGAAGTAGAAGTCAGTTGTTCCCAAGAAATTCGAAATATATAAAGGACCTAAAAATATTTAGTAAGCAAGCCCAAATGGCCACATAGTAATACAAAAGTGAAACAAAACTAAAAATGCTTATTTTCTGAAGAACTTCTTTTTTTCTGCAGGATGGATACATTCTTTGAGTTGGTGATATGTGATATTTGTCGTTTTGTTTTGTTTTGTTTTAGGGGTGGGGGGGCTTACACATATCAGGCTACTACTTTTAGCACTCAGTTATGTGGCCAGCTCAGTGGTAAGGAATTTTACTAAAACTGACAGAAACCTTAACTTTATTCTACCTACTTACCCAAGAACATAGTGAGTATCTTATAATAGGTAAATTTCCAAATTATTTTACAGGTGCTAATTTAAGTGTTTGGTTAATAGATTGGCACAGCCATGTCTAATGCGAACAGAGAAAAGCATAAAGCCAGCCCAGCTGTTTGGCAAAGATCCAGCAAAGCTGAGCCTTTTGATGCAATCGCTTGTTGTGCCATTCTTCACTTTTGGTCTTGATTCCCACGTGCTGCCTGCTTGGAGGGCTTTTGATATTTGTACAACTCAGGCATATTGGATTGATGGAATGATGGATTGAATCATTTATGCTTTTTCCCAGGAGTACTGCTTCTAAGCTTTCCCAGGAGAGTCCTGAGCATAGTACCCCTTCCACTTTTAGGGAGATATCCTTATCTGGCTCTGTTTGAAGATCCTCCTTAAGCCCTGGCGGTCATGACCCCAAAATGCCAGAGACCTCCCTATGAGGCTCTGATACCAAGATACTCTTGGAACATCTGCCCCTGCACTTACTCAGAAACAAGATAATCAGAACAAAGGACCCTTCAAATGGTAAACCAAATTCGGTAGACTAGAGAAGTTGAGAGCAGGTCAAGTTAAAAGCCTCTCACTGCTATACCCTCAGATGTGTGACATATTGGGGGCAGTAGGAAAGGTTGCATATGGTATGCCCTACTAGGAAAAGATACTGTAACAAAGTTAGATTGGCTGGAGTTATCTCTGCCCTACCCTGGGACTTACACTGATGGACAAGGAATGGTATGAACAAATGATAAAAGAGTGAAGTATTAAGACACCACTTACTTAGAAGAGTTAATTCATGTAGGGCCGCTGCGGTGCTGTATGGCCAAGGAATAAAAGAATACCAAGATTAGACATATACATAAGTTTTACAAATATATAAAACATATACAAATACATATAACATAAGCATTGTATTTTGGTAGAAATAGAATAACACCGGCAGCAACTTTGGCCTGAAGATTTTTTGGATGGGGTGTCTAGTGACAGCTAACACTTTGACCGTCACAAGTTGATAATACACTGCTTGGGGCATTATAATCTTCCCAGGCTGGCTTGGATGGTTTTGTTTTTTTTTTTTTTTTCTGTCTAGTTGCCTGCCTGAGAACGGGCTGTCATGCTTTGGCAAGATATGCCTCTAGATTCTTGAAGGTTGGGTTAAGGGTTGATGAGGGAAGATGATTGTAAAAGATAACTCTGTCCTGTCATGGCTTATCATTGATGACCAAACTTCTGACCACGAGGAAGCTAAAACACGTGTCCGGGGACAAAACTGATATGATCTATGTTTTGGAACAAGGTGAATTTTTCCCTGCCTACTAACTAACTCAGTTCTGTACAAAGAAGCACTCTGACTGCCAGTCAGTCATCTGCAAGACCCCTTTTCCCCTTCCTCCCTCCTCCCTCACAGACTTCTTACCTCCGCTGTGGGACCTGGGTATTGCCTGGAGCTGAGAATGGATACTGTAAAAATTAAAGCCTTGCTAAAAAGGAAATAGCACAGTACACTCACCTAGCATGCACAAGGCCTGGGATTTATTCTACAGAAAAAAAAAAAGTCTACAGTCTTGTTGGGTAGGTGATGAGGGCTATTGGCTGGAGATCACAGGAACCTCCTTGCTTAACCATCAAGAGGGACTTGTAAGTAGCATATTCAATAAAGTCCTGAGGCAGGAATGGAGCTGTAGGAATGGCCCAGAGTCACGGGCTGTCATAGTGATCCCAGGTGTTCGTGCTCCGTCGCTTTTGTCTGCTATTCTCTGTGTGGTGTCTGAACCATTCCCTTCCTGCAGACTAGTTTTCTGTTTTCTCTGTGCCAGGTGATAGTAACAATTAGTCAAGGAGAGAGCCACTAGCTGGAAGCACAGGCTTAGTTGTGTACCCTAGTGAGGAGCTAGAGGGTCCAGCCTGGATCAGTGGTGGTCCTGGATGGTCACCTCTACACAGGAACTAAGGCTGCAGTAAGGATCCAGAAAGATAGGAGGAAAGGGACAGCTTTTAGAGTAACACACTAGATAAAGCCAACAAGTATTTTACTAAAGTAAAAAAACACACACACAATAGGATGAATATGTATCTTTTGTGTGTGTATGGATGGGGCCTACTGGGGGTGGAACCCAGGGCCTTGCACATACCAGGTTAATACTGTTAACATTGCTGATACTTATAGAATATATAATTATATATAACATATATTATTTATTTATCTATGGAGTTTTGCTTTAAGATTTTTGTGTGACTTTGT